CTCTGGGCCTGGGCGCTGTCCCTCAGCTCTTCGGCTCACGGCTAGCGCTCTACCACTTGAGCCACAGCACCACTTCCGGCTTTTTTCTTTTTGCTTATGTAGTGCTGAGGAATCGAACCCAGGGCCTCAGGCATGCAAGGCAAGCGCTCTACCACTGAGCCACCTTCCCAGCCCCTGGCCAAAATAATTTTTATGGGTAATGGTACTTCTGATTGTGGAGCACATAGAAATAGGTTTGTCTTTGTGCTGCACTGAAGGCAGAGTATTGGGTAGATAACTCTTCAGGCTCCTTTCTGTCTCTTTTTTGTCAACAAGGTTTGATGAATGACCAATCTAAGTATGATGAATTTATTATGCCTCAAGATTCTGGGATTTAGGGCTGGGGAGGTAGCTCAGTGGTAGAGCGCTTGCCTTGCATGCATGAGGCCCTGGGTTCGATTCCCCAGCACCACATAAGCAAAAAGAAAAAAGCCGGAAGTGGTGTTGTGGCTCAAGTGGTAGAGCGCTAGCCTTGAGCTAAAAGAGCCAAGGGACAGCACCCAGGCCCAGAGTTCAGGCCCCACGACCGGAGCCCCCCCAAAAAAAAGATTCCGGGATTTATATAATTTTCTTGGGTGTTTCCCATGCTTTTTGTATAGTTTTTCAGGGAGGATGTTTATTCATTGTGAATGGAAAATTAAAAGCCTTTTAAAATTAAAAGCCACCTGTTCATCATATTAATTTGCTCATTCCTATAAGCATCCTCCCAGGGAGCAAAGTTGATTTGTTAAGGTTAAGTGTGGTGGTACATACCTATAATCCCAGTACCAGCGAGGATGAAGCAAAAGGATCATGAATTAGAGATTATTCCAGACTACATAGCTGTCCCCCAAAAAAGGGAAAAAATTACAAAGTTAATTTGTACTGAAGGGGTTATTATTTTGAAGCTTACATTGATGCAGTTAGAAGAAACAAATATCCAGAAGATAGACCTACGGAAAGTCATGACCCCTGTGGTTGCTGCAACTGCATGAAGGCGCAAAAGGAAAAGAACTCTGAGAATGAGTGGAATCAGACCCGGCAGGAGGGGAGCTCTACTTATACAGAAGAACAGCTGCTTGGGGTACAAAGGTAAGCATGAAGTGGACCTACATGAGTAACATGCTTAAGAGTATATGACATTGAAGATGTCTACATAGAGATTGTTGTTGTTATTATTGAAGCATAGTAGCATCTTGACCTCCAAGGGTAGACAGCTAGACTGGGTAGAAATGGGGTATTAGAGTGTAATGTGAGCTCTTTTAGCTTTAAGAGAGGCTCCAAGCTGTAAGAACCTCTGAGATGACACACATGTTTAAGGAACATTCTATTCAGTAATCACAGAATATAATTTTCTCAAGGATACTTGAAATATCCCCTAGGATTTTAAAATATTAAAATAAACCATACCTATAATCTTCATTAAAAAAAAATACAGGGGCTGGGGAATGTGGCGTAGTGGTAGAGTGCTTGCTTAGCATGCATGAAGCCCTAGGTTTGATTCCTCAGTACCACATAAACAGAAGAAGCCAAAAGTGGTGCTGTGGCTCTCAAGTGGTAGTGTTTAGCTGAGGGAAGCCGGACGTTTGTGGTTCACTCCTGTAATCCTAGCTATTCAGGAGGCTGAGATCTGAGGATTTTGGTTCAAAGCCAGCTTGGGCAGGAGAGTCTGTGAGATTCTTTTTTTTTTTTTGTAGGTCATAGGGCTTGAACTCTGGGCCTGAGTGTGAGTGCTATCCCTCAGCTCTTCAGCTCAAGGCAAGCGCTCTACCACTTGAGCTACAGCGCCACTTCCGGTTTTCTGGTGGTTTATTGGAGATAGGAGTCTCACTGTCTTTTTCTGCCTGGGCTGGCTTTGAACCTCGATCCTCAGATCTCAGCCTCCTGAGTAGCTAGCTAGGATTACAGGTGTGAGCCACCAGTGCCCGAGTCTGTGAGATTCTTATCTCCAATAAACCACTCAGAAAACCAGAAGTGGAGCTGTGGCTCAAGAGGTAGAGCACTAGCCTTGAGCTGAAGAGCTGAGGGACAGTGCCTGAGCCCTAAATTCAAGCCCCAGGCCCCGGGACTGGCAAAAAAAAATACAAGTGAGTGTGGCATGGTAGCACATACCTTAAATTGTAGCACACGGAGAACCAGTGGCAAAAGGATTATAAATTCAAGCCCAGCCTAGACTACAGAGATGATTCTGGATTAGCCTGGGATCTGAGACCCTGTCCTAAAAAAGGGGACACTGGCTCATGTCTGTAACTCTAACTACTCAGGAGGCTAAGATATGAGGATCAAAGTTCAAAGCCAGGAAAGTCTGTGAGAGTCTTTTTTTTTTTGTCAGTCCTGGGGCTTGAACTCAGGGACCTGGCACTGTCTCTGGTCGTCTTTTGCTCAAGGCTAGCACTCTACCACTTGAGCCACAGTACCCCTTCTGGCTTTTTTTTCCTGTTAATGTGGAACTGAGGAATCGAACCCAGGGCCTCATGTATGCTAGGCCCACACTCTACCATTAAGCCACCTTTCCAGCCCCATGTGAGATTCTATCTCCAACTAACCAGCACAAAAAAAAAAAAAAAGAGCTGGAAACTTAGCTGTCACTTTACGTGGTAGACCATTAGCCTTGAGCACAAAAGCTCACAGACAGTACCCAGGCCCTAAGTTCAAGCCCCAGGACTAGCAAGCATGTGTGTATGCAGCACATGTGTACGCACGCACACACACACACAGAGCAATAAAGGAGAGCCCGGTTCTGGTGGCTTACACCTGTAACCCTACCTGCTGAGGAAGCTAAGATGTGAGGATTGTGGTTTGAAGCCAGATCTGGCAGGAGAGTCTGGGAGACTTTTTTTTTTTTTTTTTTAGTAGTGGGTCTTGAACTCTGGGCCTGGGCGCTGTTCCTGAGCTCTTCAGCTTAAGGCTAGTGCTCTACCACTTAAGCCACAAAGCCACTTCTACTTTTCTACTTTTCTGGAGCCACTTCTACTTAATTGGAGATGAGAGCCTCATGATTGATCCTGCCTGGGCTGGCTTTGAGCCACGATCCTCAGATCTCAGCCTCCTGAGTAGCTAAGATTACAGGCATGAGCCACCAGTGCCCAGCTTGTGAGACTCTTATCTCCCGTAATAAAACTACTCCCCAAAAGCCAGAAGTGGAGCTCAGGCTCAAGTAAAAGAGTCACTAGCCTTGAGCAAAAGAAGTTCAGGACAGTGCTCACGCCCTGAGTTTAGGCCCCAGGACTGGTTCATGCCCATGTATACATGAACACACACACACACACACACACACACACACACACACACGAGTGGGGAAGAGCCAGGCATTGATGGCTCATACATGTAATCCTAGCTACTCAAGAGGCTGAGATCTGAGGATCACAGTTTGAAGCCAGCCCTGGTAGAAATGTTTGTGAGATTCTTATCTTCAGTTAACTAGCAAAAACCTAGAAATGGAGCTCAAGATTATCAGTTTAGCCTGAATTCAAGCACTTAGTTCCAGTCCCAGTACTGGCAAAACACAAACAACAACCACAAAAAAAAAAAAAACCCACTAGGGAGGAAAAATAAGTGAAAAAAATACTTTTCAACTGATTCTATTAAGCAGTATTACCATGAAGCCAATGCCAAAGCAAAAGCTATTACAAGAAGACAAATCTGCTGGGTGCTGGTGGCTCACACCTGTAATCTAGTTACTCAGAAGACTGATATCTGAGGATCAAGGTTCAAATCTAGCCTCCGCAGGAAAGTCCGTGAGATTCTTATCTCCAGTAAACTACTTAGATAAAGCCGGAAGTGGCACTGTGGCTCAAGTGGTAGAGCACTATCCTTGAGCTGAAGAGCTGAGGAACAGCACCCAGGCTCAGAATTCAAGACCCACAACTAACCAAAAAAATAAAAATTAAAAAAATTCTAATTTACTTTATTGTTGTTTTAGAGGTGATAATACAGCAGGGTTACATTTATACATGTCAAGTAATAACTACATTTCCTTTTGCATAGTGTCAAATGTTCCTTCATTCTCTCCCATTCCCTCCCTCCCTCCTATCTCTATCCACTGGTTGCATAGTTCACTTTTATCCATGTCCAGTGCAGCCAGTGAACTTCACTGCTACAGTTTTTCACCCTTTTTTCCTTTAGTTCTGTGTCCTCCCCCCAACCTTCCACAGATGTGCATGTGAATACATATATAAGGTAAAGAATACAGAGTAATCAGAAAAAGAAAAAAAACAAATTAAGAAAAAAATTCAGCCGGGCACAGGTGGCTCATGCCTGTAATCCTAGCTACTCAGGAGGCTGAGATCTGAGGATCAGGGTTCTAAGCCAGCCTGGGCAGAAAAGTCTGTGAGACTCTTATCTCCAATTAATGACTAGAAAACCGGAAATGGTGCTGTGGCTCAAGTGGCAGAATACTACCCTTGAGCTGAAGAGCTGAGGGACAATGCTCAGGCCCAAAGTTCAAGCCCCACAACTGACCAAAAAAAAAAAAATTCTTTGTTTCCATATCTTTGGAGTTTGTTTCATTATGTATATTATTTTATATACATATGAAGAGGCACTTGGGTATTGCACCTTTGTGATTTTTTCTCCTAAGACTATCCTTTTTTTGGTCTTACTATATGTAAGTTTCTAGAATTCTGTGTAATTTGTCATATCACAGTGGGTTTTAGATCTAACTTCTGCATATCAAGTAGAACCTGCACTGTTTGTCTCTGATTCTGGCTTATCTCACTTAACATGATTTGTTCTAGTTCCATCCATTTCCCTGTAAATGACATTATTTTATTCTTTCTAATGGCTGTGAAAAATTCCATTGTACATAGATACCATATTTTTTTGGACCAACTCATCTATTGTGGGGCATCTGGGTTGTTTCCATATCTTGGCTATTTTGAATAGTGTGGCAATGAACATAGATGTGTAGGTGTCCTTATATCCTGGTTCATGATGCTCAGGGTAGAAGCTAAAGAGTTGTATGGCTGGGTCATAGGGAAGGTCTAGTTTTTTCAGGAACCTCCAGACTGCTTTCCCATAACCAATATATTTTATGGCTATAAATTCAGCAATGGAATGATTATGCATATTGGTCAAGTAGGGTTTATAATAGTACTGCAAAAGTCTATTAATAATAGTACATGTTATATGGTATATAACATGTGAGCACCGTTATATATTACAGACTGTGATAGACAATTTGCTCCAGGAAAGTTAGAATGAACTTGTGACTTTAAATGAGCATCATTATTCCACAATACTGTGAATTTCCGGAAATTATGTAATCACTTAATCACAATCAAAAAAAAAAAAAAAGAACCTCAGGGAAGGGATGGTAGAGAGAAAACAATGGAGGGGTAACAATGTTCAAGAGGAAGTGTACTCATTACCTCACTCATGTAACTGTAACCCTCTGTATAGTATCTTTACAATAAAAAAAAAAAAGTACATGTTAGTAAAATAACAAAAATATGCACTCATTTCAGTAGACACAGAAAAAATATTTGACAAAATCCAGATCATTCAAAATAACTAGGACCAGAGGGAAACTTCTTCAGCCTTATAAGTCCATTTACAACAACAACAACAAACAAACAAACAAAAAAGCCCACACAGCCAACCTTTTTATTTAATGATAAATAACTGGATATATTGACACCCAGATTAGGAACAAGACAGGAACAAGATCACCATTACCTCTCCATTCTACTCATTTTGCTAGAGGTTTGAACAATTGTGTGTAAGACAAGAAAAGGAAATAAAAATTGGAAAGAATAAAATTATATTCATAGATAACATCAGTATACAAAATGGATTGGTTTTCTATATACTAGCAATAAATAAGCTGACAATGAAATGAAAAATGAAATGAAATGTCAGGCTGGGACGTAGCTTGATGGTAGAATGCCTGTTTGCTTAGTATGTATGAAGCCTTGGCTTCAATTTAAGAACTGCATCCAAAAGAATAAGATGCTAAGGAATAAATTTAACAAGGATGTGCAAGACATACATTAAAAACTATAAAACTGGCCAATTCTAATGGCTCATACCTGTAATCCCAGCTACTCAAGAGACTGAGATCTGAAGATCAGGGTTCAAAGCCTGGGCAGGAAAATCTGAGAGATGCTTATTTCCAATTAATCACCAAAATGCCTGAAGTAGAGATGTGGCTCAAGTGGTAGAGTGCTGCTCTTGAGCATAAAAGCTCAGAGACAGTGCCCAAGCCCTGAGTTTAAGCCCCAGTACTGGCATGCGACACTTATCTCCAGTTAATCACAGAAAAAGCCATAAGTTGCATTGTGGCTTAAGTGACAGAATGCTAGCCTTAGCAAAAGGAGCCCAGGAACAGCATCCATGCCCAGATCAAAGAAAGAAAGGAAGGGCTGGGAAGGTGGTAGAGCCCTTGCCTTGCATGCCTGAGGCCCTGGGTTCCATTCCTCAGCACCACATAAGCAAAAAGAAAAAAAAA